TCTAAAAAAAAAAAAAAGAAAAAAAGTAAAGGTACTCAGCTGGGTGAAGTGGACCTGTTTTTCAAAAAGAAAAAAAATATACGTGTAAACGTAAAACAAACAAAAAAAACCACAAAGCAGCTCAAATAAGTCTTAAAAATAAGTTCCAGTACTCAGTACTGACAAAATTTCACACCTGGTAATAGTTGTAGTAATATCAATAAACGTCAGGAGAAAAATTTGCTCACTTTTGGTTAAGTTTGATTTTTATAAATTATGATTATCTTTTAGTTAACAAGTTTTATCTGTTACATTATGAAATAAAGTTGTCGTGATTCTTCTTTGTAACTATTCGAATTTCAACCCAAATGCAATTTATTACTGTGGTATAGATAAAATTGCGTCGAAGAGTTACCACTATGTCATTTAATAAACAGAGCTTATCATTATTATTGAGCTTTATAATTATGCTTCAAATAATCTTGCCTCATGTCCAACAATAATTATTTGATTCATTGTAACGATAATTTTATTCTAAAATTGCAGACAAAAGTTAAAAACAAAACCAAAAACTCTGTAACCCGTTGAGATCTTCGAAAATACTTGGACTTCTTCGGCTATTTTTACTAAAGTCTAAGCTATATATTTCTATGATGATCATATAATTTTTATCATTTGATAATTGTGCAGTATATCTTAAGCTTACTTAGATAATTTTAACACGAAAATATATTCAAAGTAATAATAAATTGTGTTGTTCAAATTTTATCAAGCGTCGTGCCATCTATCAGTGAATCTTGAAACAGAAATAAGTTAGATTATGAATATCACCTGCCACATGAACCAGCCCAACATCTTTTAGTATGGAGCCTAGGATAGTCAGCCTGGAAGGGAGCATTCCGGAAACGAAAATAAACTAAATATTAAGTGAAATATGACATGATGAAATCTATATTGGTTATACTATGGTGGTACTATACTGGTTATTATACCATTCTTCTTATATTTACTCTTCATCACAGAAATGGCATTTTAAATTTGAGAATCGCTATGGACATCATCTTATAATGCATAACTTCAACACTGCATATTTTGGCTTTAGTGTGCCATTAGTTTCACAAAATATTTAATTTAATGATTTCTTATATATACTTCCAATCCTCACTTAATGAATATAATGATACTATTGTGCCCGTTTTTCTTTATGTTTTGCTGTCAATGCAGTAATCAATTGACGAATCTCCGATTCAGTTGGTATGTCAAATATATTGGGATATCTACAAATAAGCTCTTCCCACATCCAACCTGGAACCATGGTTTAGCTTGATTGCTACACTTAAACTATTACATTCAAACCACATCTAGGACATTTCAAGCATGTTTCGTTGCTATATTGTCTTATTTTACATTTATAAGTTAACTCCTCCATGTTAGCTCTCATGGTCTCGGGTCTGGTCCAGTGACCCAGCCCTCAAAAATAGTGCAAAATGCCTTCTTTTTGTCTAATCAAAACAACACAAACCATTCCCGAATGCTTTATTATTTTGGGTCCTCATCAAGATGCCAGGTTGGCTCATGTGGCAGGTGTTAAATAATGTTTCCATAATATAGTACAGTACCAAGTGAACATTATTCTAATTTAAGCATTTCACTACTTTAAATATTTGTTTATTCAGCTCAATAGGGACACATTTTGAAGATTACTGACCTAGTTCTTGCAATTCTAGAAAACTGTCATTGTTTGTTATCTAATGTCTATACATTTGAAACAGTTTCTAAAAACCTATAACAATAAAAACAAAACATATATAAGTACACCCACTGTTATCCAACACTGTGAGACAAAAAAAATTAAGTATTTCATTTATTTGTTTTATTTCTTTTGATATTTTCTGTAACAAAACTGCAGGTGTTAGAAACACAACTTTTTTGAAAGTTTTATTGCTCATTTTATAAACTTATTAAAAACAGAATTGCTTAATATGCTTGTTTATTGTTGATCAATGTAAGAACTTAATATGAAACTTCTAAATAGTGTAAACTATTAAAAAAATGTAACAACAGTTATTTTATACTTTTACAACCAAACATGGTATATAAATAATTTAACAGATCTTATCAAAATTTGTAAGGTAAATATTGTAAGCACATAGTACATTTGTGAACAAGGATATCTAATTTAGAATACACCTGTCACGTGCTATCTAACACACAAAATAAAGATTTTATATATGTTTGAGTTATTTATTCTCCAAGGGAAAAAATATTATCAGGATTAATGCCATTCATCAAAAATAGGGCTTTATACACATCTTTTTAAATAGCCAAGGAAATATACATCATAAAATCATGTTTTTAGTAACAAGTATTTTACAAGCTAATCTAGCTTCATGGATCCTTTACTACTTAGTGAACCTGAACAGTGAATAAGGTTATGAAGGCCTAGTGAAACTGTACTGAAAGGCAATAGTTTAAATCCTCAGGAAAGTTAGTATTCCTTATCAACTAAAATGCAGATACTATGCTTCTGAAGGGAAGCACTTTGTCTTAATTATTCATGAAACAATGTATTAGCTAAAAATTTTGATTCAAAATTAAAAATCTTAAATAAAACTAACCAAAAATATCCAAGAAACATTAATCTACAATGTTCTACATATATTAACGTAAAAACATGATTTTTGATTAAAACAAATGATTACTGAATAGAATTTTCATGTAACGAGTTAACTTTGACTTTTGACTATATCAAACATTTTATGGTGTAAATCCATCACACAATTTATATGTAACTATACTGTAATATATATATGGATTTTGTCTATTTATTTACTGCATATCTATAATAAGGTATTTTCAATTGTTAATAATGATAAACAAAATGAAAGACCACAAGACATTTATTTAAAAAAGCACAATGCACATGTACAACTGTTTATATGCAGTTCCATTAAAACATCTGATCACTTATGCAGAGAGAGAAAAAATTAAAAACACTCCCAGTACTGGAAATACAACTACTATGTACAATAGTAATAGCTTTGATTACATATTTAAAAAAATCAGTTGACAATTTAAAACACACAACAAAACGTATTATATTTGAAAGATACCCCAGTACCACAAATATATACAATTGTTTGTAAAAGTCTGTGAAAATTTCAAACTCATTTCTAATATGATTAGCATCCAGCATCTACACAAACACAAGATTTCTGATGACTGTGAATGGAAAAAATATATAACCATATTTTTACTTCTAATGACCCAATCAATGAACTGAAGATGTGATGGATAAATACACTGCAAAAGAAGTTGTAAAAGAAGAAGAATACCTTATATGACTAATTCTAAATGATCTTACTCACAATCTAATTCTTTCTGTAGATATGCTACTGTGTACAACAATAATGGGTAGCCATGTGACTTTTTAAAAAATACAAAAACTTCACTAAAAATATTTTTAAATTATTTGCTAAAACTGTATGAATGTTTCATACAAAAATGGTTATGAAGTAATGGATGATTTTTGCAAATTTAATAACACAGGTCTACTGCGTATTTTGTGCTTTTAAACACATTCATATGTTTAAGTTAAAGACATATTTCAACATTTTTTTTGCCACTTGGAAACTACAACTGTATCATATAAAAGCAAAAATACTTTTCAAAAATTACAGCAGATTTAAATAATACATTTTAAACCATATTTGATATTCATTAACTACAATGATCAGTGACACAAAAATGGAATAAAAGAAACAGACTTCAATGGAGAGCAATATACCTAACTCTAAATGGTCCTTACTTAAGTAATTTTATACATGAATTTACTCTGTTTCTGGATTGTACAATAAACTTTAGTTTATTTCAAGTGGTATTTTAATGTGACATAATATAATGATAAAAGTAGTCAAAGAATAAATAGCAGTTGAACCAATGAAAACTTCATATGCAAATATGAAAAACAAAATTACTACTAAATAAAAAAAAAACACATTTTTATTAGTTTTATTTATACAGCGCTTGAGGCAGAACTAATAAAAATCACATAACTGCTTTCAATCTATCAGTTTACATCATACATCTAACTTCTATGTTTGTTACTTGAAATTCACCCATAAGACGAGCATGTGTTTACTAAGTTAATAACAATAACTTTAACTGCAACTGGCTGGTATTTCTTTTGAAAAGTAAGCACTAGATTAAACTGACGTGACAAAATACTGATCATGTAAACAAAATGTCTAGGGTTTGTAGTCATGCAATATTTATCATTATAAATATGCATCCCTAAAAACTATATCTTAAGTACACAAGTTATTATGAAGGCTACATGCAGTTTTTTAATTGTGCCATATATATAGATTGGATATACTTTTAAATGATTTTTTTTTTGACAAGTATTTATCTTTTGAAACACAAGTTTCCTAAACATAAACCTTGTTTTTAACAAAAGGCTTATTTTGTATAAATTATCATAATCTATCAACCTTAAAACTCGATTACCAAGTTGGAAATTACTAAAAGTTTAAGTTTTCTTATCTTGCATCACAATATTTTGCATTAATTGATGCGAGTTACTAATCGTAATGCACAACTTTTTGTAAAAACTATGATTTGTTACAAGCCCACTTGAGAAATGTTTGGAAAAAGACTTTGAAAATTTAATTTTTACTTCAATAAAACCATTAATGCTATTGATATTAACAAAACTTTATGTTCAAGAGTAGGTAATATTAACACACGTGGTTGTCTGTACATGAAACACAGAAAAATGTATGATATTCTAGTTTTAAAGTTTTCTAAAATGTTGCAGCTATAACCACTGATGTTCAAAACATCCAGTTTTAGTAGGTTTTGGTTACTGATTAGACTTTCCAGTTTATCAGTGTAGATAAAAAACTGTAAATCTTTGAATATGTAAATTATTTACATGCATATTGTGTACATTATTAAATAAAATGTTTATTAGATTTTTTTTTTGAAAACAAAAACATTTTATTTAAAATGAACAATATATTAAAGTTTATATTAGTTGATTAGGAAAATCCAGGCAACAAAATATATATGATGATGACAAAACAACATTATTTCTGATAATCATTGTCCAAATCAAACACTTCATCCAGCATGCTTTAAATATTCAATTATATTATGTCATAGTTAGGTCAAGCTTGAAAACATGACTGTTTCATAAAAGACTGAATGAAATTTTTGAAATGACTAACAAGATAACAAATAAAGAACTTAGCTTGATATTTTTTGAGTAAAACTATGAATGTACAATTATAGTTTTGACATACACTTGGTGCTAAAACTTTTATTAAATTATTATCTTTAGACAAGGTTATAATTAAAATATCAGTACATTACAAAGCATTTAAAAGAAATGCAGCAAGTGATAACAAAATACCAATTTACATATATTCATGAATTTTTAAGGATTTTGAATATTTATAATTTTACTTGAATTTTTGATCCCAATATTTATGAAAAACAGCTTTATTGTATTACAAAGTTGATTTTTTGTACATATTTTTCAAATAGCAACATAGAAATACTTCATGAAATGTTAACAGTTACCTACAATAAAATGCAAGGATGATTTTAGGTATTCTTCTCCTTTGTGAATCAGACTAAAAGGCATGCACTGTACATGAATATCTGATGCACATCATTACTCATGTACATGTACTGTCGGAACTGCCCTCCTTCTTGTAACTCTGAAATTTGTTTACAAAACAGTACTGGTCTGCAATTATGTGAAAGTAAACTAGAGCACACATATTGCCCTTCAGTGATATACAGTATTTCTCACATGTACCATCCTGACAATCAAGACAGTTCCAATCTCAGATATGTCACAGATAAATGATAAATGCTAAACCTAATGACACATACACAACATACATTTTTACATTTCCTTTTCACTCTTCTGTAACCTGTAATGGTTGAATGGTGCATATGGAGGTTTTGTGGGGTCATTTTTTTCTTCACATATTGTCCGACACCTAATTAGGTCTTCTCTCTCTCCTAGCAACCACTTTTGACAAGCTGTCTTCATGTCATTTGTAACACACAATTCTAACCATTTCCCATGCCACTGGTGGAATTTTTTGTTGAGTCTTCTTGAGACTTGTTGATGAGTAAACCTTGCCTTTTTAAGAGCCATCCGTTTATACAGATAGCTTTCATTGGGAACCACAATAACTGTTTTATAAGAATCAACATCAAACAAACACTCATTATTCTTACCAATATCTGTACATTCTTCATTTTTTTTCACACATGAATTGTCAAGGTCTAGACTTTTAGAAATATTTTCCTTTGTTATCAGAGTATTTTCCTCATTGGTAAAGGCTTCTTCCTTTTTGAAACAAGTTTCCTTGTATTTTTCACTATCTTGTTTTCGCCCATTCTGTTCAAAATTCTGTCTCTGTTTTGCTTTCTGCTGTTGACGTGTTCTGATATTACGATGTAAAAAGACAGGTTTCTTAGATAACTGTTCCTTCAATTCATCAGATATGGTATCTTCTTCTGCAGTATACTTTTCTGAATTTTCAGACCATCTTTCATCTCCTCTGTCTTCGGAACCATCTGTATCTAACAATTCAAATGATAGTTTCCCCTCATTTTTATATAAAACAATTTTAAAGCAATTTTCTTCACTAAATATCTGTTCTGCTTTCTTCCTGTAAGCATTTTCAGCTGCAATATGTTGCATAGACACAGAATAGAAAGTACCACCTGTAGCTTCATTTTTTGCTTCTTGCAAGTACAAATCCATACACTGTGTACAAACTTCATCAGAAACAACATGTTGTAACTGACGAACTGCATTTTGCACAACCCTATCCATTGTGAATGCAAGGTAAGCATCAATACCAAACATTTCTCGTAAAGTATCTTCATACTGATTGCTTTCCATATTACCATCTAACAGGTTTTTCACCATTTCTAAAAAAGCTGGCTTATAATCTTCAACTTCTACATCTGGTTTTGGCCGAAGTCTTAATGAAAGTGCTGTTGATTCTTTTCTTTCCTTCTTTTCCCTTTGTTCCTCCTCAGTTAGCTGTGAAGCTTTATTATAAATCTTTGCTAAACGTTCACAAAGAATATTATGCAGTCTAAGGAAGAGATACCAATTATTGTTAGCAAAAAGAAGAGCGTATGACCCATCTGAGTCAGAACTATCAATATCTACTTGATAATCATCTTTTGGAGATTGTTTAGCTTCCCATCTAGAAGTACTTCTATCATTGTCTGAAGGAGAAAGATCTTTTGCCAATTCTTTCATAAAATGAGATACATTCCCTTCTTTATGAGATTCCAGTATGTTTTCTTTGTTTTCTTTCACATTACAACTTGTTCCTTTTTGCTGGGTATAACTACTTCTCTTTTCTAGACCTCCCACACTGTTTTTACTGCCGTCATCTAATGCATGTTTTCCTGGAGATTCTTGATCACAAGGCTTACTCTCCTCAGTTTGGGAATCATCTTCTCGTTCATTTTCATCATCACTTAGCTCTCCTCGAGGCACTGAAAAGAAATCTGGAATAAAATGCCTCATGAACAACTTTATCTTTTGCTTGTCTTCTTTATGTATACCTGTTTGTCGCTTCACATGATGAATAATCAAATTAGCTGCATCTTCAAGAACAGATTTATCACTGTATGTTACTGACAAATGTGGACCGGACGTAACTTCTTCTGCTCCCTCCTCAACCTGTTCATGTCTCTCTTCAAAAATAGTTTCTATCTCATTAAGCAAATTTTTTGATCTTAAACATTTCACATCATTTTGCTTAAAAGTGAGACCTTGATGATCTAAAGACTTTAGGTAATACTTTTCATTTTGATCTCTCCACATTTTATTAAAACTTTTCTGGGCTAGTCGCCATTCTTCTTCTTTTGCTTTTAGCCTTTTCACAACAAGGGGTACTGCTACCACAGGATTCTTCTTCAGACCTTCTATAATATCTGCTGCTTTGTCTCCATAAACCTTTTTAATGGCTCTTTGATGAATAACAGAAGACGATCCTCCAAGAGTTTCATCTAATCTTAAGCGGGCTCTCTCTTCTGGTGTCATTCTAATAATTTTTTTCTGGAGAGCTTCAAGTACATGTACCGTAGACAAATTTGTTTCTAAAACAACATCCAATTCAAATCTTTCATCCTCACATCTATATATATACTCCTCATATTGGGTTTTCCGAGAGCTCACAAATGTTGAGTCTTCTGACCAAGAAGGAAATGACACCCAAGTGTCATTTAAAACTTCCTTACACAGAGCTGTACGACCACTACATTTAGGATGCACATAATTTTTTGGTAATGCTCTATAACTGGCTCCATACCTTTTGCAAGAAGAATAATCAATTTCCATCGCAAGATCACCACTAATTCGCTCCCTCTCATGATTGACAACTTTGGGTGGAACAGGTTCCAGAACTATACTTGAAGATGTGTCTTTATGATCTAAAAAATTTCTAAACCATTTAAATAATTCCTGATACTTTGACAAGAAAGGTGTTACCAACTGTACTAGCTCTGTTCTTGATACAATTTCCTGGTTATACAAAAGAAGACATCTCAGAAAGTTCTCATAAGCTTCCTGACTCCGTAGAGCTTTACGTACATTGTCAAAAAATGCAAATTCATTTAATGTTCCACATTTACCTGCTTCTGCAAGAGTGACATCTTTCAAACTTGTCATTCGAGGTTTTTTAGCTGGTTGATGAGGTACAGATGGGAGAGGCCGTTTAACTACTTGAGGTGCCTTTATTTGATTGTTGGTATTACCTATACTTGTAGGAGGTTTGGCAAATGTAGTTTTTTTCACTGCTGGTGTATGATCATTATTCACAGGTTTTGGGGGTGGAAGGATAGCAGCTGCTCCATTAGCATCAGGTAAAAAATGACCAAATTCTTGAAGCAAATCTTCTTGGTTCTGAAACAATTTAGCTACTTGTGAGTAAACCTGAGCTTCTGTCAATGGCTTTGTAGTAGTATGTACTCCTTCTTTGAGGTTTCTTTGTTCCTTCTGATAAGTGTGCAAGATTTCTAAAAACTGCTTGTAGATATCAGGTTGCCCTTGAAATCGATTCTTAATCTTATTGACATAATTTATAGCATGATTAAACTCAACTGGTTGGTTTGCTTTTGGGGTAGTTGATGTACTTAAGGATTCATCTGGTGAATGAGGAGGACTTGCTATAGAACTTTCTGCAGATTGTTGATTAGACTGCTGATTTGGAATTGAAGAATGAACAGTTACACTCGACACTGACTGCTGGCAGGGTTTGTCTGGAGTGGTGTACGATACATTAATGCTTGTTACTACTGTTCCAGAATTAGTAACACTTTGTGTGTTGGTTACAGGTGTAAATGATAAAACTGATGTTGATGTTGTGTTGGGTGGAGGCTGAGGTGTCACAGTACACATTCCTGCCCCTGGCATGCTAACATTCACCTGCTCATTTGCTTGAACTTCAATCTTGTAACCTGGAGGTAAAAATGTATTAAACCCAATTATCAACTCAGGATGCCCTCTAAAAAGGTTTGAAACTCGCTGAATTACCCCAGGTGTGTCAATACTTTGTGATTTAAATTCCTTCATTATATCCAAAAAATCATTGTATACTTGTGGTTGACTACCAAACTTAAACTTAACTTGATCAAGATAAGAAAGTGCATCTTCTACTTTTAATCGTTGGAACTGCTGTTGTTGAGCGGGTGGGTTATGAATGTGAGATTGAACAGGTGACTGGGTCTGTAAATGTACTGGAAGTTGCTGGTGATGGGCTTGTAATGAATGAGCTGCTGGGCTTGCAGCAGAATTTTGGGGTTGGTGGTGGCCAGCTAGAGGCATTCCAGTAGACCCAATTCGTGACTGTAAAGAGTGAACAACATTTGATACACCACTAGTTAGTTCTAGCTTCTCAATAGTAGGTAGGGTTATGCCTACTTGATCCTGAGCAAGAGCAAATGGTTGCCTATGGGGAGATGGTTTTAAAGTTGGAGGATTAATAAGAGTTCTAACCGGAACAGCTGCAGTTTGTTGATTAAAAACAGAGGAGTTGTTCCTTAGATTTCCAACAGCTGTTGAAAGAGAGTTGACAGAGCCAATGTTGACTACATTGGCAACTGAGGATGTTTCGCATGAAGTTACAATATTTCTATACTGAGTAGTTGAAGTAGACTCACCGAGAATGTGCACAGATGGCTGAGTAGAACTCAACGAGCTCAGTATACTTACTAGGGATGCTGATGTCGGCGTTTCATCTGTAGACACAGAACCTTGAAGCGATGGATTGTCTTGAGCACCTTTCATGATTTCTACATCATAATGGACAGTCAAAACAACAACAAAAATTTAGGCCTACATAAGAAGCACGATAACTAATAAAACACTCTCCCGCAGTGACGACGCGAAGTGGTTTCCGTGTGACAGTAGTTACCTCTCAACCAATCAGGTGTCTTCTTTCAATGTCTTTTTTGATTAGCAATGTAGTAAAAGGCAATATTTTAAAAAGGCGGCGCTTCAAAATTTTTAAAACATTAGTAGTTTAAAAAAGTCGATGCACAATATCATATCGTTTAATGCAGTAATATTTTTGAATTAATATTGTAAACATAAGTCTCTATATTTAAAATTATTAGCTTATTTCAGATTTTTGAAAATATAAATAGATCAATGCCATAATAATATATCGTTTCACCTTTTATCAAAATCTAAGCATCAGGCTGGGGTGGTTCAGGTTATTTTGAGAGGTTGAGCTGAGCCGTAAGAAAAAGAATGGCGCCATCATAGAGATGTAACACAGTTGACTTTATACGTTGTTTACAATGTATTATAGGGCACAATAAGCCTATCTCAGTCGATAAAGTAACAATATATGGTTTGGCATAACGTTGTTTAAATAATTAACAAAAGTATTTTAAGTGAAATTTTAACGGTGTAATGTGAAAAGGACAAAGAAAGTAAATGATCAGCGCACCACAAATATTAGTGCGATAATTTATGAACTCGTTCTAAGGACGAGTCAGGAATCATCTTTTTTTTTTTTATTATTGTTTCTCAGTCCGATGCCCCGAAGTAAGAATGATGAAGCGCCAAGTTTAAATGTTCAATATATTTTATAGGCTTAACTTAGAAAAGAACTGGTTATCAGAATAATTATATAGCAGTGTTGATTATTATTCTTATTTAAAGATTCAGTGATAGAATTAAAAGCTATGCGTCCAAGCATTGGAAATGGAAAACCTTGTTACTATTGGAAAGAGCTGAAGATAATAGCATTCACTGATTCAGTCATACAATGATACGGTGTTAATATAATAAAATAACTTATTGTAAGTTTACTTATATTATTTTTGATTTTGATAAATGTGATTTATATTGGTGTATCAAATTCAAAGCAAGGACTGTGACTGAAATGTAATGTGTTGTATAAGGATTTATTCAGTTTATTGTGTTCAAAGCTTTAGTTTACTTTCACTTATCCTAGAATTTAAAGTTTCAGTCCAACTTTGGAATTACTGTGCACTGTACAGTCTCTAGGGGTTGTTTTCCTTATGGCATCATTATTTACATTTAAATTGTGAATTCTTCTAGTCTGTTACTTTATGTAGAGTAAAAATTGTTCAAAATGTGAAAAGTGCATGAAAATTGACACAGTTTATTTAATGTTTTTATATAAGGCAGAAATAGTACATTTAATAGTAATAGGGTAGGGACTAGCTTGTTTGCAAGTGCTGTTAACTCAGCTGTAAGTGTAAGAGTAGCTTTCAACTAGGATAAGATCTTGGTGAGGGCCAGGATAAACTAAATGCAGAAAACATATGTAAAAAAAAGAACAGTTGAAACACTAGTTCATGTCTTGAACCATAGTCATTCATGAATATATGTTTGCAATCATGCTCTAAAAATGCTCTTTACTAAAGAAAAACATAGAAAGCCAGTTTATAGTACTCTATCAATATCAAATAACCTATAACGTTGTATCTCGAATTCTTGTGATCAAAACTTTTTATATTTAACAAAGTGTCAGTTACTCCCATTACATTGAAATCTTCTATCAAATCCTTCAATAAGTGCTCTAAAGTCATCTATTTATTTCATATACTTGTAGCAATATAAAGGCAACAATTTACACTACCCTTAAAACTACTTCTTTACTTTGTTCATACATTACACGTGAGTTTCCTGAATATGGTATGTTATTTAGTTAATTTATTGTTGCTTTCATTAATAATACTCCATTACTGGTTAGTATATGAAATATAATTACTTTTTGTTTTCATCTGTCAGTTATTATTATACTTTTATTATAAAGATTGTTTTGCATTGTTAGCTTAGAACTTATATTTATGACAAATCTAAATCTCCTAAGCTGGCAAAACATTATGAAATATAATAGAGTTTACTACCAAAAGTATTATTAACAGTGAAGGCACTCAACTGATGAAACAATAAATTTTTATAAATAGAAACCTAAGAAAAGTATATTTAATTAGCTATACTGATTTTTTTTTAGTTTCACTAAAAGAATGTAACGTACTCTGATTATAAATCATTATTCCACTATTTTGGTTAAAATTTAATAAACTTCCAGTTGCAGTATATCCTGGAATATTAAATATGTGAATTGGCAAGTTATCTAGTAAAGATTCTATTAGTATTATTATTATTTCAAAATTTATTCTTATTTCTGTTAGCAACAAAATAAATTCATTGCAGCTTTTCATTAAGCTTTTAATATTCATGTGAAATATGGTAAAATTTTCTAATCATTGTTTACATAATTGATTCAGATAAATATTTTCAGTTTCCTAGTTTTCAATTACATTAAAATATTCTACATTATTTATGACTTCCATATAAGTACATAAATAATATACATAGAAAAATGTTTACCTATTATATTACAATTTTTAGTTAAGTTGGTAGTGTTCTGTTCTCTCCTGTGTCTGCCTCTGATCTAGAAGTTTTAAGTCAATATTTAAGTCAACCTAATTTGGAGTATTTTCTCTCCCTCCGCATGTTTCACCATTATCACACCTTCCCGAGTCTACACAAACATAAAACCCGCATTCTTGGTCAACTGTTTTGTTTCGAATAGTAGTTTCTTTAATCTTGGAGCCAGTTGCTAATATATAAAGACTCGTGTGTCTGGAAAAATGGAATAGATGTCAATAGCAGATAAACCTTTGTCTTTGACAACCTTAATCTATTGCTGTTTTTTCAGCCGGCTAGCTAGTTGTGTTACAATTGAAGGCAGATATGAAGAGTTGTACGATTTCACACAGTGGGCTATTTGAATGCCCGTTGGTCCTACTTGTAGGCCTGAAGCTAGCCCAACTTGCCTGATGATTTCTACAAAGTATTCTTTCGCAGTGACAGGAATGCCTACAATTTCAACATTTTCAGTTCTACTTCTTTGCTCCAGGAGTAGCATTCTCTCCTCATAGCTCTCTACTTTTTTCTTTAACACGCTATTTACCACTTCTATTTTCCCTACCTTCCACTCTAAATTCACACTTCATGCTTTCAACTGGTCCAAAGTTACCTTAAGATCAACAATTAGTCCAGAAAATACTTGTACTAAGTTTTCAAATTTTGAAAACTTTGTCTCTATGTTTGCTATTGTTGCCTTTATATATTTAATTCCCTCCATCATATCCTTAAAATCTTTATTACTTATAGCTTGACACCCCTCCTTAGACTTTTGGCAAATCCAGTTAGCTTTTCTTGCACCAAGTTTGACTAAATTCTCCACCATTTTGATTCGAGTACATTTTTCATGAAAGTATTCAAAACAGTCCATGCATTGTATTTAAACTAGTCTTCACACAAAAAAACTTTGACACACCATTCATGATAAATTCAATATTCAGAAAAGTTACAGTATTCTTACCAACAGTATTTAGGTGCGGTGGAAAAAAAAAATAATTTCTTAGGATATGGAAACTATCACAAGTGTAAGCCAAAAAAAAAAGCAATTTGTTTAGAACATTATAATTATAAACAAATGAACACACAAGAAGTACGTAGAACGTATATAATATTAGGGTATAGAATAACTAAGCAAGTAAATGTTTCACTACTCACTCAGTACATTGGTGAATAAAAATATCAATATATTGTCTTTGATAAGGGTAAATAAATTTTATTTTTCATCATTCTTTTCATTTTCATAGGATCCTGCCAGTTGGCTGGTGTTGCCTCCCATGGTATGCTTATTTCTTAAAATCTGCATCAGGCCAGGGTAACAGCACTCAACTCATCTGCCCTGGTTCTACCAGTGCACACTGTTGAGATGTGGTATTCAGCAAGACTACTAGAGGTATCCTTGTGGTATTAAAATTACTTAATTGTCCAACCCATACTATAACATTCCCTGGACTATCACAGAAAAAGCTGGCACCAGTGAAGTGACTGCCTGATTCTTTGGCTCATGCCTGCAAACGTTTAAAAATAGGGTTTCATGATCACCCATTGCACTGTCTCCAGTAAAAAAGGTTTCCAGCAGGCATCCATTGGGGATCTGGGCAAATTCTCTCCCTTTTTTCAAGTGGAGTGCATGACACTCTTGCCACTTACCAGTTCTTAGCTACTGGGGTGGTGGACCTTGGAGAGTTCCTCTATGACTGTGCACAGCACCAGTGAGAAATAGGGCAGTGGTGGCACTGTCTGTGTAGTACGGGTCACCCCTCAAACATCGTGACTTCCTGTTGTGTGAATCTATCTGTCCAATTGAGTCAAGTTGAGACACCCATACGGTATGGTCTGATCATACACTAATCACACTTCTTGGCTTGCCGAGCACTTATGTGCAGATGCTCAGTCGGTCATGATCTAGTTCTACTCATTCCTGTGACATTTGGGTTTATTTTACCTTTCCATCTGTTCTTTTCCAGGCAAAGAGTATACTCTGGTCTAGATAAGATGAGGCCTCCCATGGGTGTGCCACTATGGAGCATCTGCCATCAGGTGTTACTCTCCATGGGCTTTCCCTTTAGGCACTGTCTGTAGGGAACTCCTTTAGGTTTAATGTTTGCACCAGCCCCTCCACCATTTCAATGTGGGATTCTAGCTATTCTATGTGCATAGGTTAGGTATTGTTTTGGAAGTTAACATTTTCTTTACATGATGAGTGTATTTTGCACTTTCTTTATGCCTCGTCTAAGAATGAAGTTATTGAGTGCAAGTGCTTGAAGAGTATTACTATGCAAGGAGGTTGTGTTGCCCTCCAATTGATGGAGGGCTATCATCACATTATAATATCATCTTGAATTAGCACAGTTCACAGTAAATGTGATTTTTAGGTGTGAGTTAGCTCAAGACTAGTGACATGAAAATCTAAAAAGTACTTGCATGAGGGATCAAATCATTTAACAAAGTTTAAACGTTTGTTGAATAGTTGACAGAGTA